TTATTTACAGTTATTTCCTGAGAGCAATCAATACTTTCTTTCCTCCTTTCAAAGAACAGCAGATGCTTAAAAGTGGTACAGGTTTCTCCTGTGTTTAATTTGGGTGAGAAGGCAGTACATATATCAGAAGTATGCTGTGTGTTTTTTGACATTGTTGAATCTAGGGAAGGCTAAATGCAGCCTTAGCACTGAATTTCTAGCTAAATTTCTCTGCTTGTTCATATTTTCTGTGCCCACTGAATTTTCCCGTCAAACTTCCTGGCTACTCTTTAAAACAAGACCCACTAGTCACATCTGAGGCATGCTGAGATTGATTTAGCAATCTAGAGGACACAACAGTCAACAGGACTCACTGATAGGACATTTACAAGAATGTCCTAGGTGCTACACAAAACTGTGGCAGTATGTTAAAGCAATCAGCAGGAGGCTAGTTCTAGCCCAATCTGGAGTTGCCTGCCATTAGAGAAAAATAAAGTATCAAAATCTTCACAGGGTGCAAATCTGTGCACATTAATAATAGGCCTTGCCTGCATCAAAGGATAAAAGAGTACATGCATATTTTGCTGTTTAAAAGTTAATTGCAACATTGCAATAGACAATTCCAAGAACAGAAATGTAATTCAGATTACAAGATTTGTATCACCACTGAACCTCACATTCCCCAGGCCTTTCTGAATCATTGTTTAAGCACCAAGGTACACTGTTTTCTTGACATAGCTTGGACTACACAGTATAAAAGGATGTCTATTTCAAGACAGATCCAGCAGGCATCCTAATACTGAGGGGAAACAATATTGGTTCAAAGAGCTGTAGTGACCAATTATTTCCAAATGTTTATTTGCTATCACAAGTTTAAATTGTTTGCATGAAATTCACATTAGCATGGTGAATGACCAAATACAGGTTTTGCACTTGTAACCTCTCTGATGCCACTTGTACATTTCTGAGGTTAGAGCAGAAGATCTTAGGATGTTTAGAAGAATCTGTTAAGATCTCATCCTGTACCTTTAAAAGTGTGGTTGTGGTGGGGTGAACAGATGAGTCAATGAGAAACATTATGCTAGGAGGGACTGTTCCATTTCCAGAAACACTGCAGTGCTGGCATGATCTCTGGAGCAAACTACCATGTTCTTCCTTTGTTCCAAATATGAAGGTAATATGGAAAGTAACATTAAAAGTAAACACAGACACACACAAGATCCCTGGGATGGGATAGACACACATCGTCTACCACTATTCTAAGCCAAAGGTGAGCAACTTGCAGATGTGTTTGCTTAATTCTCATCAACTCAGCCAGCATGATCAATGGTCAGATGGGAGTCCCTGCAACCATGTCTAACACTTTATGTTGCCAATTACTGCTTTAAGAAGCACCACTTAACATCACCTTAGTATTAACCTAAACTAGGAAGATAAGAGGAAAAGGTGCACAGGGACAAATGACAATGTGAGATATACAGAAACCTGTGGACAAGGAAAGAGGAGACCATTGATGAACAGAGGTAGAGAGGAACTTGGGAAATGAGGGGAAAAAGAGTTAACAGATGGCATGAAGAAGACCTATGACAGTGCAAGCAGAATGCAGACATAAGAAGAGGGAGCAGCTAAGAAATGGGGTACAGAGATATGAGGAAGAGAAACAAGATGCAGAGCTTTGATAGTGAATATAGAGAAAAGCAAATGTGTGCTATGGGCTACCAGAGAGAAGATAACCCCTGTGTTTTTAAAAATGTTAAGCCAGAATTCTAGAGAATCCTGGTTTATTGTGAATGAGTGGCATACTAGTGCACACAGCCACTCAGTCCCATGTGGCTTTCCCTGCAGGAAGGAGGAATAGTCTGTTAGGGAGTTGTCTGAACTGAAGAACTTGGTTTGTCACACCCTGTACAAGTCACAATTGCAACCAGGGTTCCAAAGGGTGCCAGGTCCTTTGGTAGGGCAAGGACAATTATTATAGGAACTTATTGTTTGATTAGTTTTATTAATGTACTGTTTATCTTATTATATTTTATTGTAAACCACCCAGAGCGTCCTCTGGGCTATTGGGGGGGCAGGTGATAAAAATGTAATAAGTAAATGAACAAATAACCAGGGTTAATTCTAGGCTTACAAAACCTAGCCAGGAATGGCAAGGCAGGATCTAGTTAAGACAACATGCTAAGCAAACAATTCCTGGTTTATCTGGGCCATGTTAGAGGAGGAGGAGCCAAGCAAAAGCAAATGTGGTCTGAAACCAACACACACCACCGGTTGTGCAGAATCTGCACATTCCATGCAACATTCCGTGCAAATGCAGCCATTTCATACAATTTGGATTAGAAAGAAAAACAAGGAAGGTTGTACAGAAAGAGGAACTCAATAAGGTCTGTACTAGTGAAACAAGAGAAAGCTCTGCAGAACACAAAGAAAGAAAGATTGCAGCAGAGAGAACATCCCGTTTTTGGGCAAGGTGTTGGAGCGGGTGGTGGTGGGACAACTCCAAGCACTGTTGGATGAAACTGATTATCTGGACCCATTTCAGTCTGGCTTCAGACCCGGGTACGGTACTGAATCTGCCTTGGTCGCCCTGTATGATGACCTGTGCAAGGAGAAGGACAGGGGGAGTGCGTTCCTGTTGGTTCTTCTGGACCTCTCAGTGGCTTTCGATACCATCGACCATGGTATCCTTCTGGATAGGCTAGCGGGAGTGGGGGTCGGAGACACTGCTCTGCAGTGGTTCCGCTCTTATCTCAATGACCGTTTCCAGAAGGTGGGGCTGGGGGACTATGGCTCTGCACCATGGCAGCTATGCCATGGAGTACTGCAGGGGTCCATTTTGTCCCCTTTGCTATTTAACATGTACATGAAACCGCTGGGAGAGGTCATCAGGAGGTGTGGGCTGCGGAATCATCAGTACGCTAATGATACCCAGCTCTGCCTCTCATTTTCCACCAATCCAGGTGAGGCAGTGGCTGTGCTGAACCGGTGCCTGGCTGAGGTAATGAGCTGGATGAGGGCCAATAAACTGAAGCTCAGTCCAGACAAGATGGAGGTCCTGTTGGTCGGTGGATCGAACTTCGGTGAGGGTAAATTGAACCTAGTCCTGAATGGAGTTGCACTCCCTCTTAGGGACAAGGTCCGCAGCTTGGGAGTGCTCCTCGACCCAGAGCTTTCACTGGAAGCTCAGGTGACAGCGATGGCGAGGAATGCTTTCTTTCAGCTTCGGCTGATCCATCAGCTGCGCCCCTACCTGGAGTACGACTGCCTCGCGACAGTGACACACGCGTTGGTGACTTCCCGACTTGACTTCTGCAACGCGCTCTACATGGGGCTACCCTTGAAGACGGTCCGGATACTTCAATTGGTTCAGAATAGAGCTGCCAGGCTGTTGACGGGGACTGGGCGTTATGCTCACATGACTCCAGTCCTCCGTCAGCTTCACTGGCTTCCCATTGAAGTCCGGGCCCAATTCAAGGTGTTGGTGATCACTTATAAAGCCCTAAACAGCTTGGGTCCTGGCTACCTGAAGGAGCGCTTACGTCCATATATGCCCGCTCGCCCCCTGAGATCAGCGGGAGAGGCCCTTCTCCAGGAACCTTCCGTGAAGGAAATTAGGAGGATAGGTACTTGGAGGAGGGCTTTCTCTGCGGTGGCACCCAATCTATGGAATGCGCTCCCCGGAGAGGTCCGCCTGGCGCTGTCGTTATTTGTTTTTCGGCACCAGGCGAAGACCTTTTTATTCAAGCATCATTTTAATTGTTAATGTTATTTTTAAGTTTTTTGGCCAGGGCGACTTATTTTATACAGTTATGTGTATTTTATATTGTTATTTATGTATTTTAATTTATTTATAAGCCGCCCCGAGGCTTCGGCGAATGGGGCGGCCTAGAAATTTTCTAAATAAATAAATTTTCTAAATAAATTATGGATTAAATTTGTAACTAAATTACTTCTTTGGTGGTTAATAAAACAGTGTGACTCACCTGAGTAAGAACAACACAGAAGTAGCTCTTGGAGTGATTTGACTAGTACCTGACTGCTCTAAGCAATATATTTTCCTGCTATTAATACAGATGCATTTATGGGGGCTGGTTTCCCTCCTCACATATCAATAATACTTAAGTTACAAGCCTTAAAAATCAGAAGTATAAACTTGTGAACAAAACAGGACTGCTGCTATTATGATTAGCATGATGCATAGAATACATAGTCCATCCATGGTTTAAAGACAGTTGCTCCATAAAACAGAAAAGACTTTAACAGTCCTCTGTATATCAATTTACTTGAGAAGATCCTTTGGGGCTTTTATATATATTGTTTGGGAATTTACAAAGCCATTTTCATTTAACTGTTTGTAATTGCTAATTGCACCCTCCTGTTTAGAACTGTGGAAAAGTATCTTCAATGCATCCACGCATCTTAACATCAATCTATGCAAAATGTCTGGAGTGACATGTTTTATTATTTCTGCTGAAATATGAATTGTCACATCTAATTAAAATGTATATAGCTGTTAGTAGAATTATCAAAACTATTTCAGTGGGGCACAGTAAAGACATAAATGAGGTATTAAGAAGTCAGGGGTGCATCTGTTCAAATGATCCATGTACTATTTTAAGAGCCTGCAATAAATAATTCAAGGAAATGTTGGAGCAAAAATCTCATTTTTAAAGAAAAGGTCTGCAGACCAAAATATACTATGGCACTTTGACACAGAAGTGCTGAACCATAAAAACCATATACATGGCAGTTGTGTTGTTGTTTGATGAGTTTTTAAACAAAGTTAAAATTCTTGGTGTGCATATATAAACCAGTACAAACTTTCCAAGTGTGTCACTGGATCAGGGCCTACAATGGTACTTGAATGATGACAATCACAATTTCATATCCCTGGGTACAAGGTAAAGTAGGCCATTAAGCATTGATCAATTCCAAAAGAGTAGTTAAAGGATTTTCAAAGACTGCCTCAGATTCTTCCACTGGATTCTCAATGTCCAGCTTAAAGATACAGGATCCCTTCATTACTCTGGGACTTTGGAAACTGCTTTGCTGGTGACCTCTGAAGGATGCAGTTTTCTGCTAGGAAAACAAATAGAAATCACCATTAGAAACATACACATTTTCTGATTTTCTGTCTTTGGTACATTGAAATCTCATCTTTCCTCCAAGCAGCTCAGGACAGCATATATGAAGCTCTCCAATTTTATTCTCACAAACATCTTATGGGAGGAGAAGAGAAGAGCCATCAGCCCATATTTTTCCAGCAAATCAGGGTTACAAACGCTTGCACATGAGCATGCTCGGTCCACCTGCCGGCTCGTTGGAAGAAAAGCTGCAGCTGCAAAATGATTTGGAAATCAACCGACCCCTCCGGTGGCCACCTTACTCCCCCATCCAATTTACATTGGGGCCAAACAGAACTGCAATATTCCTGTAATTTCCTCTTTGAAATATAATCACCTTTAAACCGATCCCAGTTATCTAGAATGCAACTCAAGGGTGTACTTGTTTGGGTTGACTTACCCTGTCCCATGATGCGCGCTGAGTGTTCCCCAGAAGACCTTTAGAAGGATTTCAGCAGACCTCTCTGATTTTCCTTCTGTCAGTTCTGCCAGGCGTCCGTGGTCAAAAGTGCTCACGCACTTATGGGGGATCCGCTCACCCCGGACTCAAACCAGGGTAATATACCAAAAAGAGTTTCCAAAACTCCCCCCTTCCGCCCAAGAAGCTCCCCAATTCTACTCGAACTCGCCTATTCCTATAGAGTTCAACTCTACTTAGGAGTCACCAGCCATCAGACAGGGGAGGGCAGCTTGCCAGCCTCTTACCAGCACCGGACTCTAACTGGAGGCCCTTTTCAACTGTACTTGGGAGTCACCGGCTGTCAGACAGGGATGGGCAACTTGCTGGCCTCTAACCAGCACTGGACTCTAACCAGAGGCCCTTCTCTTTTCCCTCTTTTTGAACCGGGTCTTCCCCCAAGCAGTTAACTCTTTTTTTTTTTCTTTCCCCTTCTTTTGAACCGGGTCTTCCCCGGAGCAGTTAACTCTTTTTACCAGAGGCTTTTTCTTACCTGGGAGCTCCTTGTCTTGTCAGGGTTAGCTCTCTCAGTCTCGTTTTCCTCTCAGCCACCCTTTCCTCAAGCCCTGCTCACGGCTGGTGGAGGTTTCCGGCCAAATTTGCCTCAGCCCAAATGCTGAGGGAGAGCTCTCTAATGCCTGTCGTCCACACCTCCGAAAAGAGGTTCTTTGAGGGAGAAGGCTTAAGAATTTTGAGGCAAAATTCGCCTTTAGTCCGCTCGGTGCCCCACGTTGGGTGCCAAAACTGTTACCGGACTGAGCCAGTCAACAGCTGGGGCAAACCCAGGTGGACCCCAGACCTGAGCCAAACAGAGCCTGAGACGAGACTTAGAGCTAAATTCAGCTTTATTCTAGTGCACTATAGAATAAAGGGAGACGAAAGGGGACATTCAGCCCAAAGCAGTGTCTCAAAAGTTGCACCCCAGTACATGCGTTTTATACCCTAGGTAACCAATTAGGTCACCTAATACACATCTAATACATCGATACATCAATGTATGCACCCCCTCCCGTGCTGGAGAAAGAGTCCTTTCTTCTGTCAAGGACCAGACATTTCCCATGTCTATTTCTTATCTGCTCAAGATTCACACAGGCTTGCCATGTTCTTACTCCCTGCACATTTGCAACTTTCATGGCGGCTAGAGCCAGTTTCCACTGTCCCTTTGATTACCGTATTCGAGGTCAGGCTAGCGTGTTAGCTGTGGGTTACACAAAGTTCATTTTGTTCTTATTCTCCCTCCCTTCTGGGACAGTAGAACTGTGGTGTTTTTACTATGTGGCCTTCCTCTAGCCAACTGCTTTTGGAGCCTTTCTCTGGCCAATTACTCTTGGGGTGTTTTGAGGTGCTGCAATTGGTAACGCTTCCATGGACCACCTTCAAATAAGATCAATGCCTAAGAAGGGTTCTAGCTGGTTTTATACCCCAAATATATATTGAGCAACAGACAGTTCTGCAATGAAGCTCAAGAGGTGGTTGACACCAATAAACATTGGTGAGAGTCAGAAGGGGTCTCCCGGACCATCTAGTCTGACCCCCAGCTCCAGCCGGCTCCGCTCACGACATGCCCACCATGTGCATGTCCAGCCTATCTTTGAACACCCTCACCGATGGGGCCTCAACAACCTCTTGTGGAAGCCCATTCCACACCCTCGGGGTCCTGACTGTCAGGAAGTGCTTCCTGGCATCCAAATGAAACCTTGGTTCCCTGAGCTTTGCTCCGTTGGAGTGTGTCCTGCCTTCCTCTGCAGGGGAGAACAGGTGTTTACCCATCTCCATGTGACATCCCCTCACATACCTGTATGTCGCCAACATATCCCCTCTGAGTCTCCTCTTCTCTGAAGAGACCCAGTTCCCTCAGTCTCGCCTCATACCCCATCCCCATAAGGCAAGAGGAAGATGACCAAGGGATCTGGAGCAAGGGCCAGATCCAATGTGATATGGGAAATCCACAGTTAGGCACTCCTAGTTTTTGTTTTGGTAAGGACAGCCTTTCCTAATCTAGTAACAGCTCCACAAGGAAGATCCTTGCTTTGAAGATCCTATGTGATAGGTTGTTTAACATATCCCTCTTGCTCTTTTTCTGATACAAATCATTTCACTGAAATTCCTATCAATTCCAAAAAGAGGCAATGCAGGGATTGGACCATTGCAGCCTCACAAGACCCTTCAAGGAATGTTGAAATAGAGTTATGTCAGATGAGCAGGATGGGGAAGAATTCCTAACTGGAATTCAAAGGCCACTTAACTCAGGAATAAAGCCAGAAAGTAACAGGCAATCAGCTAGCTTTAGACAGAGCAGAAAATCACCATAAGCATGTTAATGGGGAGGGGGTGCAACAGGTATGACTAATTGTGGGAATCTGACCAACTAAGGCATGTCAGATATTCTAAGCATTGGAATTATGGCAAGATCTGCCTTAATGAATGTTGGCAATGTGGGGTTAGGTAGGAAGATGGGCCCTCACTTTGGAATCAATTTCTTACCACTGGAATCATGCTTCCTAAACAAGTTTATTTCTCAGAATTGTAACTACTACCATCACTTTTTGTTGTTGATTTCTACAATAGACTTAAATTTATACTTTAAAGGCAGCTTTGCTGTTTTTCATAACCACAATACATCTTTATTTAGAACATCCTACTCTGTCTGGGGGTGAAAGGGGAGAGAGGGAGAGCATCTTGACAGGCAATAGAAAGGAACAGCATCTCTGCAGAAGTATCAGCACTTTAGGGGTGGAGGATTTACCTCAGGGAAATGGCATGAACAGAGGACTTGACCTCCCCCCCACCCCCAGCTCCTCTTGTCTCAACATAGCCTTGCACAGCTGCTAATAGCAAAAGAGAAACAGTAGTGGATCCTAACCAGAGATCTCTCCTATCACATCTGATTTGGTCCTAATTTAACCCTTTAGGAGCAGATAGTCACTGAAATAGCAAAAAACCCTCTGACGTTCTGCTAGAGAAGGCAGATCAATACTGCCCAAGGGCAGAATTCCATCTGACTTTCTATGTTAACAGCTAAAACTGAATGACCTTGTGAAGGATATACATGAGACTTCACTCTGTTGCCTTTACAAAACTTCCACTCATTTGCTACATTAATTTGCCAGTACAATGCGGGATGCAGGTCCCGTGCTCAGTCTGTCCCCTAGCCAGTCCCTTGTATGGCAAAACTGCATTACACAGTGGCCTGCCAGTAGGAAAGGAGCAACAGTGTGATGACTGCTGCTCCTCTCCCGCAGGACAAATAAGGCTGGGGCTGGGACCCTGCGGCCCTTGGACTAATTGTGTGTGGGTGGCAAGAAGCAGAGAAACTAGAGAAAAAGAAGGGGATGGCATAAAGTGGGAGGGGGGGAGAGAAAAGGGGTGGCAGGAGGACTAAAACATTAAAAAGGGAGTAGACCTACATATGCAACTTCAGACAGATCGGCCCTATGGGAAAGTAGTCCTCAGAGTCCCTCTTTCCAGGGGTAAGGGCTGTTTGCAATGATAGAACTTTCCCTACAAACAAGGGCTCAGCAGTACCAGAAAAAAGGTTCCCACTATACCAGTATAATACCAGATCCACTGTTGTTTTTTTTGGGGGGGGGGAGGAGGGGGTCCAAGTTTGTATTATTTTCTATCAATAAAACAATGATAATTCAAAAGACATCAGACTGGGTTATTATCTTATTCTCTTTACAATTAATGTATATTTCAGTCCTAGGTATAATCCCACTAAGTCCCAAGTTTGGTCATGGTATGTGTCTTCTTTTTCCTTAAGAGACAAAGTCAGTCTGTCCATTTCTGCACAGTCCGGTATCATCTTTAAAATCAGTTCTTCAGCCGGTATTTCTCCATTCCTCCAGTGTTGTGCAAATACAATCCTCGCCGCTGTAATTACATGTAGTCAAATATATGTTTCTTTTGTCACCAGATCCACTGTTTTCCTGCTACTGAACAAGGGTACACTGAATCATGGTTCAGTTGCTTTGTCGTGAATTAGAGCTAGTTCTTAAGTACTTGGCTACAGAAATGACTGAAATGAAAACCAAGTTTCTATATATTCCTGAAGAAGCTTCTTCTTGAAACTAATAGGTTTTCTGAGTGCCCTACTTAGCCATTTAAGATGTCCAAGCAAGAATACAATTTCTCCATTGTCTACTTCCAATTATGTCATCTATGTAATTTCTGTACTGGTCATTTGGTGATGACCATGTGCACAGTTGTCCAGTTGCCTAAAGTATGGATTTGCAATCAACAAGCTGTTGGTTTCACAGAATACTATGAGTAATTCTCCCACAACATTTGATCCAGCTTTCTGCTTTTGCATTCCAACCACCAAAGACAATCAGCATTTCTTGTTTTAGTGCATTATTAATTTCCTTTTGGACTTCTTGCATGAGTGTTTTAAATTTCATCATAGATTGTTGCTGGAACATAGATTTGAATTATCATTATGTTGACAGGGTTTCTACAAATTCTGATAGATATTTGGTCAAACTTTGCATTATATCCTCTTGCTGCCTGTGATGTATCTTGCCTCAGCTTTAGAGCAGCTCCATTTCTTCTGAGTTTGTTATTTCCACAATAAAACTCTTTGCATTTGTCTGACTGAAAATGCTCCATCCCAGTCCACCTTAGTTCACTCACACCAAATAGTGTGATGTACAGACATTCCCATTTCTCGCTTTATGATTTCCAATTTGCCTTGACTCATACTTCACATTCCATGTTCCAGTTGTATGTGCTGTGCTGAACCAGCGTTTCACCTCTGCGCATGTCAGCCAGGAGTCTTCCTTTCAGATCTAGTTGCAGTGTTAGCAACACTGCTGTTCATGCCTGTTCTTTGCTCTTTCCTAGGAGCTAAGTGAGTGCCTTCTAACTTAGGAGTCTCATCTTCTGGCACTCTCTCTGTTTAATCTTATGTTGTTCTATTATAGGATTAGAAATGTAAAATTATTATAGGTGTTTCATTTTGGATTTTTCTATTATGGTGTTTCCAATGTAAGAATATAAAGAAGTGGTTTAGCATTGCCTTTTTCTGTGCAATACTAACCAGAATTAGTTTAAACTATCTTTCTTTCTTTCTAAACTTATATCCCACTA